GGGGGGGGGGGGGGGGGCGAGACGCTGCAGTGCGGAGAAACACCCCAGAAATGGGGTCTCGGCGCTCCCGCATACTGGTCACATGACCCAGACCCTTTTCCCGAATCTCCGTTTCTACGGTGTGAAATGGGGATACTGTCCCCATTGGGTGGTAGGTAGTTTTGAGGATCAGCGCGGTGGTGAAAGGGAGCGCTCGAGACTTGTCAGCCACGGGCCTGTCCCTAAGCCCAGGTGCCTTCTCCAGCCCCACTCTTTAACTGTTCCTGCTCTGACCTGTTGCAGGAGATGCGGGCTGGCAGCGGGCGGCTTCCCAGCCAGGCCCTGGACTTTGGAACCTTCCCCTGAGCAGCCTCTCTTCCCGGAGACAGAGCTAGAGCAGGGAAGGCCAATATGCCTGGGGTTAAATTAGGGTTAGACTTCCAACAGGATCACGGGGGCGGGGGGTGGGAGGGAGCCTCGCCTCGCCTCCAGCTCCAGCCCAGCCTCCAGCAGCCTTCCAGGGAGCAGCGAGAATGTGCACCGGTGTCTGGCTGGGCCTATCACGAGGGCAAAGCTAGGCCCAAGACTCCTCCCCTCCCCCACTCGGTCGGTGGGGCGGGGAAGGGCAGGGTAGGGGGAGGTTGGGTGGGGCGTCGGTGCTTGTGTAAGTCTGTTTGTTGGTGTATCTGTGGCCCCGTGTGCGTGTGTGTGTGTGTGTCTGTGTGTGTGCGTGCGCGCACGCGCGTGGTTCTTTGTCATTATCAGGCTCAACTTTCCATGGTTCCCTTGTGGCCGGGCCTCAGTCTTTTCATCTGTTCAATGAGTCGGCACGCTCCCTCTCTGCTGTCGGGCAGCCTGGGCGTCCGCGGGTGCCCCAGGCTGATTCCGTGCTCTTGCTTGGGCCAGCGCCTCCCTCGCCCTCCAGCACACCTCCTCGAGGTCGGCGTGGGCGCGCCTTTAGTTTCCTGGGCTCCGTGCGTGTCTTTGTCTTCCCGTCCACGTGTGTGCTGTGAGTGTGTGTGAGTCAGTTTGGGTGCCTGTGAGTCTCTGAGCCCCTGCCAGGCGGCGCCCAGCGCTAGGTTGAACCTCGGCCCGCCGCCGCACGCGCCCCGCCCATCGCCGCACTTGGCCGTGTGTCTGTCCGTGCGGCGCGTGCGGGGCCTGGCGAGGCACGCTGCAGTCCTGTCCGTCTCCCGCTCCCTCGCTCGCTCGCTGGCTCCCTCGCTCGCTCTGCCTCTCCGCTCGGGCTCTGCCGAAGGGGGCGGGGTGGGGTGCAGGGGCGGGGGGGGGGGGGGGGGGGGGGGGGGGGGGGGAGGGGAGGCTCCTGCATTCTTGCGGTCGGGGAGGAATCTGAGCCAGCGTTACTGGTCTCCAGAAGAGCCCAGCTGCAGCCCCGGGGCCCCGCCAGGCCTCTAGCTGCCCGCCCGGGCCTGCTGGAATGGGCACGGGCTAGGCCTCGAGCTGGGGGCGGGGCGGGGCATTGCCCCCATCCCGGCCCCCTCCACGCCCCGGGCGCCCTGGGGGCGGGGCGTGAGGAGGTCCCCACCCCGGGTGAGGGGCGTGCCTGGGAGCGGGAGTCCCCCAGGGGTCTAGAGCAGACCTCCTGGCAGCCCCACGCGGGCACCTTTGCAACCTATCCTTTTAGTGATTTCTGCCTCAGCGGCCCGGGGTGGGGCGGGGGGTGTGGGCTGTGTGCTTGCTAGAGACTGCAAGCTCCCTGAGGGTAAGGTGCGGGAGGGATGGGGATAGGACCGGCCTCCAGGATAGAGACCCCACCTAGTAGTCCTCCCTTTCCATTCCCACCTTACCCTCTCTAGTTCCTTAGTCCCAGGGCTGTTGGGTCCTCCCGTCACCCCTCCCCTTCTCACACCCCCTCCCCAAGTCACAAGTTTTCTCTTTGGGGCTTGTTGCTGCAGTCCGTGCTCCAGTACCGAGTACCTGGCTGGGCCCTGGGCACGCACAGGGGCCGTAGCCCCACTGTGTGTGGGAGCCATGAGGATCCTGGCTAACAAGACAAGGTGTGTGGGTGTCGTGGAGGGCGGGAAGTGTGTGTGTGGAGTGCGGGGAAGGGAAGGGCCCAGTGGTCACGGGGCTGAGCGGTGCTGGCTTGGAAAGTGCGCCCTGTGGGCACTTGGCTTCCAGGCCACCGGTGGGCTAAAGGGGGGTCAGAATGGGAAGGCCTGCCCTGAGGCAGGAGCCCACGGCCTTAGTGCCTGGGCCCAGGGGACAGAGGGGAATGGCAATCAGCTATGACTGCTGCTCCAATCCCTTCCAGCCCTTGCCTCCTAAAAAAACGGTTTGAGCAGACCCCCGCCCACCTCACTGTCGGGTCCAATGGCGCCCTCTGGCCTCAGTCTAGCCGGGGGTGGGAGCTGGAGGGAGGGGCGGTGCCTGCCTCCCTCCCCTTCCCCAGGAGAAGCCGGCAGACAGGGCCAGGCGGCAGCAGCAGGACAGCAGAGCTGAAATAAATCTGAGCTGGTGTGGAATGAGGGGGGATAAATATCCTCTCCCGTGATGTGATCTTTCCAGCGGCTATTAATAGGTCTCCGGGGAGGGGGAGGCGGTGGGGGGAGCGGGCTGGAGCTTAAAGGGCCCGCAGCCTAGGCTGCAGGAATCCTTGGCTTCCAGCTTCACTCCATTCTGCTTAACACGCCACTCCCCTCCCCCTTTCCTCCTGCTCCTGCCTGCCTGCCTGCCAGGCCTGCCGGTGGACCCCCTTCAGGCTCCCCCCCTCCCTGCTCTGGGGAGCTGTCTGGATCAGTGGGCACTACTCTCCAGTGTGCTTTTCCCCACTTCCCCTGAGGAAGGGGGCTGGGGCATGAACAATGACCCTCAGGTCCCATTTCCCTTACCTGCTGGTGTAGGGGCACATGAAAGTTGAGGTGTAGGAACTTGGAAGGAGTCTGAAAACAGCAAACTCTAAAAGAGGTTGTTGAGGTGTTGGTCAGGTGCTAGAGGAGCGGAGTTGCCATGGAGGCTTGCAGTGTGATGGATGTTGGGGGTGGGGGCGGATTCTGCCAACCAAGGCCCTGGTGTCCACTTGAATCGTGGGGTCTGAGATGTGGAGGGGGTTGCCCTATCTTCACTCCCCAAGGTGGAGAAAGACCTCAGCCCTTGTCTGAGAAACCATGGAGGGAGATAGGGAATAGCTGGTGGTCTTAAGATGCTACTCAGCCCCCACCTCCACTACCACCAGGTGAGGCAGGATGGGGCATTAAAATCAGGTGCTCTAGGCCCCTAGCAAGATTAACTTTTCATGTCTCTCCCACCTTCTCCCAGGTTACCCCACCCCAGGAGGAGAGAAGCTCCAGGGAGCCCGCCGCTCTCCCCACGCGGCCACTGCCCCCCAGCCCCAGCCAAGCCAATGCACCCAGAAAATAAGTTGACCAATCATGGCAAGACAGGGAATGGCGGGGCCCAATCCCAGCACCAGAATGTGAACCAAGGACCCACCTGCAACCTGGGCTCGAAGGGCGTGGGGGCGGGGAACCATGGGGCCAAGGCCAACCAGATCTCACCTAGCAACTCAAGTCTGAAGAACCCCCAGGCAGGGGTGCCCCCTTTCAGCTCGCTCAAGGGCAAGGTGAAGAGGGAGAGGAGCGTGTCTGTGGACTCTGGAGAGCAGCGAGAGGCTGGGACCCCATCCCTGGATTCAGAGGCCAAAGGTATCCCTTTTCCTGGTCCCCAAGACCCCAGCATGTTCCATAGTCCAAGGCCCAAGCTTGCTGCCCTCTTTGCCTGATTCCTGTCACTTGCTTCTCTCCAGCATTTATGCAGGGTCGCCTTTCTCTTACCCCCATTATACCCACCAACTTGGTCATTCTCTCAGGAGTGGGGTTGGCCAGGGTGGAGATTTCTCATCCTTAGGTGCCACCCATGGAGTGGCCACCCAGCGTGATGGGGCTTCCGGTCAGCCTCATTGCTCTTCTGCTTTCCCACCAGAACCTCCAGAGGGGGAGAGGGAGGTGCTCTGGGGTGAGGAGCAGACCCACACACCTCCTAGGAACCTCCTAGTATCCCAGCTGGTGGGAGCTCTTGAGCAGGCTCTGGGGCCTGGAAGAGTAGCAGCGCCTTCCCCCTCCCTCACCATCCCCCCCCCACCCCAGCCCTAATTAGAACCAGTTGTGGTTGGGGATTATGCTGTGCTTGGTGCTGGGTGGGGGAAGGGAGACAGGCAGCGGGGCTGGAGAGAGAAATCAGAAACAAATGGCGGTGTGGTGGGGGCCAAGGGCTGGCAAAGTGCCCACCATGTCCTGGGCATTGCCCTCTTGGGGTGGGGCATCTGGGAGAATGGGCCTGTGGAGACCCTGGGTGTAGGAGGACAGGGCCTCTGGGCATTCCTTCTGACCCCTGCCTGCTCTGTCCTGCCCGGGCAGAGGTGGCACCCCGGAGTAAGCGGCGTTGTGTGCTGGAGCGGAAGCAGCCGTACAGTGGGGACGAATGGTGTTCAGGACCCGACAGCGAGGAGGACGACAAGCCCATTGGGGCCACCCACAGTGAGTGCCCATTGATCCCAGGATGCTGTGGCCCATTGTGCCCCTGGGGGATGGCTGCCCTGAGGGAGCCTCCCTCTCCTCACCTAGGGCTTTAGACGGCTGAGTCTGGGCAAGGAGCAGGGGTCAGGAGCCCAGGCTACTTGTTTCCCATCCTACCTGTCACTCTGTCCCTCCCGCGATGTGACAGCTTAGCCCCTGCCTTCCAGGTGCTCAGTGGCCCCCTCTTCCTTGGGACAGAGGTAGGGTGGGGTGGCCCCTCTTGGCCACACCACCTAGACCTCCTCTCGTGAATTCCTGGCCTCTGCTGCCACCTACTGGTCAGTGGAGGGAGGGTGGCGAGGGTCCTGCATCCCTGGGAGCCAGACATTGGCTCTGCTCGCGAAGTCTCGCTAAGCCTGGGTGTGAGCTGACAGCGGCTGTGTCTCTGGCACCCTTCCCCAACCTCTAATTGACTCCTGGCAAATGCCTAGAGTGCGTCACCAGGACGAGGAGTGGGTGTGGGTGGATGCCCCTTCCTCTCGTTATTGTATTGATCAGTGTGTATTTGGGCCTTTGCTCACGTAATGGGGAGAACCAGATACTGTCCTGCCCTTGAGAAGTCCATACGCGTTTATTTGGTCGGCCCCCTCAAAGATTACACCTGTTCAAGGGGTGAAACAACTTAATGCAGAAGAAGCCAGCCAGAGAAATGTTAAACTGTGAACTTCTCAAGGGCTGGGACCCTACAAAGAAGGAAGAAAAAGAATGTGCTGGCTACTTTGCTGCTTTGTCTTAGTTAATCCCTACAAGAGCCCTATGAAGTAGGTGTTCTTAGGATGCCTATTGCAGAGGAGGAAACAGACTCAGCAGATGTTTGTGGAATGAGTGGACCGTGTCGTGTCGGTGGATGGGATTAAATACAGAAGCCTCTGCAGCTGTCTGGGAGTTTAAAGGTCATCTGGTCCCAAGTCTCCCCCCCACCCCCGCCCAGGTGGCCCATGAGCCCCACTGAACCCATCAGGGATAGATGGGGCTGGTCAGTGCCTCCCAGGACCCTCAGCCCCCCCCCACCACCCTCATTCACTTTTATAACATTTAGACTGCCAGGATGTAGAAACATTGAAAGAAACAGGGAAATACAAAGGAGAAATTGATAGCTTCCAATACCCCAAACTAAGGCAACCACTGTTGCTGTTTCAGTTCTGTCATTAGATTCCCAAATTCTTAGGTTGGGGGCAGTCTAATGTAGAGGTGAGTAGCACAGAGTGCAGTCAGACCGCTTTGGTTCATACTCCGGGTCTCCCATTTATTATTTGTGTACATTTGGGAAAGAGCCTCGGTTGTCCCATCTGTATACGTATTTACCTCATAGGGTTGGTATGAAGAGAAAATGAATAGTTATGTGTAACACTTAGAACAGTTAGCTGTTGCTATTGTTCTTATTGTACTAGAAAATTCCTCATTGGAATAAAGCCTGCCTCCCTCCCCTAACTTGTACCTGGGAGTCCTAATTCTGTATACCAAATATGCACTTTCCTCTTCCCCAGGGCAACCCTGCACATTGAGGTCAGCTCTCAAGCCCTCCCTGGGCCCCCAAGCTTTTGGCTCTGTCATTCTATGTAAAATTTGTTTTTCTTTCTTTTTTTCATGTCTGTTTATTTATTTTGAGAGAGAGCGTGAAGGAGCGGGGTAGGAGCAGAGAGAGAGAGAGGGAAAGAGAAAATCCCAAGCAGGCTCCACTGTCAGCACGGAGCCTGACGCAGGGCTTGATCCCTCGAACCATGAGATCATGACCTGAGCTGAAATCAAGAGTCGGACGCTTAACTGACTGAGCCACCCGGGCGCCCCTAACTTTTGTTTTTCTTGGCGTG